TTTTCATTCTTAGCCACAGATGGATAAAACAGTCTCCTATCAGGGCAATACAAAGTTAAACACTGAAAGTGTCCAGATACTATGAAAAAGGTCTCCTCTGTTCATCTCTGCTTCCATTTGGAGTATAGTGGATGCATGCCTCTTTTGGTATAGTCAGCTTTGTGAATTTTTTTTTTTTGTAAAAACTTGTGGCACCTCAACTCATATGGACAGTAACATCTAAGAAATCTATAATTTCTTTTGACTCTTCTGTAGAGCTAATGAGATAAAGATTCAGCCTTAAGTAAGCATCACCAAAACCTTGTATACACATTTCAGTTTACTACATAATATGGGGACACAAAATTGTACTTCATTTTCTCTCTCATTTCTTTTTTTGCACATAAGTTTGCTGTGAAAATGCAAATCTCTGGGGATCCCTGGGTGGCTCAGTGGTTTTAGCACCTGCCTTTGGCCCAGGGCATGATCCTGGGGCCCCGGGATTGAGTCCCGCATTGGGCTCCCTGCATGGAGTCTGCTTCTTCCTATACCTCTCTTTCTTTCTGTGTTTCTAAATAAAGTCTTAAAAAAAAGAAAATGCTTCTTCCTATACCTTTCTTTCTTTCTGTGAATAAATAAAGTCTTAAAAAAAAGAAAATGCAAATCTCTGAATGTGAGTGAGGTTATATCTGAGATTTATTTCTGCATATTATGTATCTGAGTCCATGTCTTCAGAAGAATGATAAATTATTTTCTATGTGTGTATATATACAGATACATTCATATATGCCTCAACACACACACACACACGCATGCATATACTTTTGAATAATATGAAATTATTTGAAGAGAACAACTTTCTGCAGATTCCTTCACCAGTGAGGATTAAATTAATGATTGCTTAAAAACCCTTGACAATCCAAAGATAATTTCTCATGGATTAGGTTTAATGGCTGAGAACACAGAAATGGCAAGACAGATTGAATGGCATGCATCTTGCTCTTTTCTCTCTCTGCAGACTGGTCTTTCCTTCTCTGGCCCACCAGCAAGCTTACATCTCTTTCGTTCCAGAGAGCAGCCATAATGAGCCTGAAATCTCTAGGTACTTCTTTCACATCTCCTTGGGAGGGGTTCTGATTGGCTCAGCTGAGGCTAGGATTCCACTCAAAGTCCAAAACATACTAGCCAAGTGGAAAAGACACAATGTGGAAAATGTGTGTGCCAAGGGTCCAAGGGTCCATTGGATTTATGGGGAGGAGGGGCATTGGGTGGGATCTACATAGACAACCAAGAGAGCTGCCCTGCACACTCCATGGGACAAGGGCAGGCTCTCTGGCTCCTGTGAAAACATTCCAGGCATCTTCTGGTTTTAGAGGTCAAGCCAGAAAGAATGGTCATCTTCAGCCCAGGATAAAGCTCGCTCTGATTCAATTCAAGCATTGAGATTTACCTTTTTGAGAATGACTGATGGTACAATTAATATTTCCATCAGAAGAACATCCATCTCCCAGAAAGGTGATCACATGGAAGTTAGATCAACTCCACAAAAAACCAACCGTATGCCTGGATGTCTATTTGCATTCCTGACTGTTTCGGTGAGGTGACTTTCCTAGTGACTGAAATGGGATATCACCCATTTCACCAGATGGGGGTGAGGGTAAGGGGGCGGGGGTGGGGGGTGGATATGATGACACAGTGGGGTTTTTAACTGCTCGAGTCACAATGCTTCTAAGACTGCTATGGCTCCAACTGGCGGGAGTTCTAGTCTTTCTCCTGGGGTTTCCCTCCTCAAATAGCTTCTGGGGGATTTTTAAAAAAGACTTTATTTACTCATGAGAGACAGAGAGAGAGAGAGGCACTGGGAGAAGCAGGCTCCCTCTGGGGAGCCTGATGTGAGACTCGATCCCAGGACCCCAGGAACAACCTGAGCCAAAGGCAGACACTCAGCCACTGAGTCACCCAGGCACCCCAATTCCAGGGGATTCTGTAGGGATGGGTCCATGTGCCACACATCTGTTCTGGTGGGCCCCTGAACTTTGGCCTGGCTCCTATTGTCTGAGTTGTCATTTCTTCCCATCCTGTTTGTATCCCTGAACCAATTCCCCTCCTAACACAGTTAAGTTCTGCCAATGTAGGGATCCCTGGGTGGCACAGCGGTTTGGCGCCTGCCTTTGGCCCAGGGCGCGATCCTGGAGACCCGGGATCGAATCCCACGTCGGGCTCCCGGTGCGTGGGGCCTGCTTCTCCCTCTGCCTATATCTCTCTCTGTGTGTGTGACTATCATAAATAAATAAAAAATAAATGTTTAAAAAAAAAAAAAAAAAAAAAAAAAAAAGTTCTGCCAATGTAACTAAGGCCACATCAAGGTGTCTGTCCAGCACCCAGGTGGGAGAGTGTACTTCCAGATGACACTTTCATCTCATACCAGGACCTCTGTCCCTGTAGCTCTCACAAGGCAGGGCCCAGCTCACCTCTCGCTGCTGGGGGGTTCCCAGCTCCACCCCAGTGGGCTCTCCCCTCTATACCTTATTGTCCTTCCTGCCCACGGATGTGTGACAGAGTGAGGGGCATCCATTTCTTTCTGTGGAAACCCCCACACTATCCCCACATGGTCCAGAACACACTGCGTGAATTCAGTGTTGGCGACATTGGGAATCTAATCAAATTCTCTTTAGAGAAAATACTTTCCTTTCAGGACCCTGTCAAGGTATAGATGTAGCTCATTTGCTCAACTAAACAGACCCTTTATCTCTTGGTCTGTGGAACCAGCGTTTGGTTTCATGGTAGCTCACAGTCCCCCCCCGCCCGGAACAGTGTGGGTCCCACCTTCTTAGAATGAAGCACTCATCGAGTGAATTTCCTCAAAGGGCATCTTCAAAATAAGGCAATAGCATCTTTCCATCCAGAACCCGGAACTGCCAATTAGCCCTAAACACAGTTCCCTTGTTAAAATTTAAAAATGATTCAAGTAAAAAAAAAAAAAAAGATTCAAGTCTTTTTTATGGGGTACCCCTCTATACCCCAGGGTAGTATGAATGTGTCAAATGATTCAGGCATCTTATTTCAGGGGTTACAATCTCACAGATGGACTCCATCTGGCTCACAGACATGTTTTCTTTGGGGGGGGGTGCTCATAACTGATAATCTTCCTTACAGTTTTGCATTGGCTGCCAACATTTCACCAGGACATTTTAAATTTAAAAAATCTGGGTTTCTGACTCGCTTTGAGAAAGCCTGAAGATCAGGGCATCACAAGGTTTGCCTCCCCCACAGGGAGGTCCACTGGCCAGAGGGGAGGTCTCCCTGCAGACAGGGCACCTGCCCTCCAGCGCCCCCAGGGTCTCCCTGTCATTCTGCGTCAACTCCCCTTCATCCCGGGCTTTGCATCATTCTCCTGCACCTGCCCACTTCCTGTGCTCGCCCTGCTTGCTTGGCCTCTGTGGACTTCTACTTTACAACCCTTGTTTTACGGCTTTGGGTACACGTAGCCAAACTGTCTTACAGAAAGAAGGCGGTCATTTTCTGGAGCAGCTTGGCAGCCGGTATTTGGATGTGATTTCAGCTTGATTTAATGGGCAATTATTGAGCACTCGCTGCGTATAAAGGCTGGAAGCAGCCGGGCCAGGGGGAAATCAAGCTGATGGCAGGGTTATTGGTGCATAGACACCTGGGAGCCCGAGCCTGGGTGTGTGATAATTTGCCAAGGGAGGGCAAACAGTGCCCAGTGTTGCTTCAGTAAAGGTCAATTAAGATAAGAAAAAGCGTGCCCTGTGGCTTCCTGTCTGGGAAACAGCAGGCTAAGGGGGATGATGGGAGAGAAAGCCATGTGGCCAAGCGCTGAGAGGTGAGTGGATGGTGGGGACACAGAAGCAGGGAGAGTGGGCCACAGCTCTGAAAGACTGGCTCTGAAGGGGGCAGTGACAAGGCATCGGGCGCTGGGGTCTAGATGGTTCTTGGAGGGCTGCTGGGGGAGGGATATTTATAGGTGATGGGCAGGGAGCCAGTGGAGAGTGATTTGTGTTCAGTCCTCTGGGAGCTTGGAGAGCAGGAATATAGCATACAAAATTCACTCTGAGTTGGACTTGAGACCAAAGGGATGAAGACGGGGAAGGGGAAAACATCCTGGTTACAGCAGCCAGCCTTTCTCTTTGAAACATCAGCTCCATCCAGAGATCTTTGAGGCCTCCAGGGTACCTGATAAAGTACCTCGGAAGGTGAGCGCATTTGGAGGTGGGGTCTCTAAGGAGACAATTAAGGCTAAACGAGGTCATAAGGGTGGGACTCTAAAGCAAGAGGACTGATGTTCTTATAAGAGGCAGAGACACCAGGATGTGTACACACAGAGAAAAGCCAACTGCAAGCCAAAGAGAGCAACCTCAGGAGGAACCAAACCTGAGGACACCTTAACCTTGGACTCCGAGCCTCCAGACTGTGAGACAGAAAACTGGTGGAGTCTAAGCCACTTTGTCTTGGTATTTGTTATGGTAGCCTGAGCAAATGAATGCAGGGAAAGACAGAAGGGGTAAGAAAGGGCCTTTGGGCTTTATGTTGAAGTCACCAGCATCTGTGACTCTGGGACACATATATATGACATAATATTGAGAAATAAGTAAATTCCTGGGGATAAATGCTTGCATTCACAGCCTGTCACTTGGTAAGGAGTTGCTGGGGGGATATGGCACATATATGGGCTCACATGTAGGGCTTTGTACTGACTTGGGCGTAGAACCACTGTGAAGTACAACCCTAGAAAATTGAACTCGGAGAGGTTAACCCATAAGATGTTTGCACTCAGTATGGTGCTTGGCACAAGCAGGCAGTCAAAATGTATTGGCCAATGCATTTATGAATGAAGAGCGTTCACTGAGGATGTGAAAAGAGTGAACATCCATAACCACCTTGGGTGTTATTAGTTAACCCTTTTAGTGTTGCAAGTGACAGAAACCCATTCAAACCAGCCTTAGCCAAAAAATTAAATTTTAAAAGTTTACAAATGGAGGGGGAATTTGTTGGCTCAGAGACTGACAAGTCTGGAAGTCCGCTTCAGGCATGATTGGATCCAGGGACAAAGAGATGTATGGAGTGGTCTTCTCTTCTCTTCTTCCCTGTATTGGGTTTATACCCAGGCAGGTGTCTCCACATGGTGGTCCTGGCAGCCCCATTTGGGGTTCCACCCTCTATACATCCAACAATTCATCCAGAAGAGAGGGAGCCTCCCTTTTCAAATAGTGCTAACTTGAGTCTTAACTGGACTCTGAGCCACCCAGCCAGAGTCATGAGACCATCCTTGTCCAATTGGCACTGCTCAGGGCCTGTGAGTAGGGGAGAGATAATTTGTCAAAGGAAAAACAGGGTGCTTTCCCTGTAGCAGGGAAACTAGTTGCTAGGGAGGCACAGGCCATTGCTGCCCACTGGACAGAGTGGAGTCAGGGGACTAGGTAATGGGAGAATAGGTAAGAGAGAGGAGGAAGCATGCCACCAGGAGGACACATGGAGATGATAACCAGAGCTGAGCCAAGTCCAGGCAGGATGGAGGCCACTGAAAATTAAAGAGGCTGAGATCTGTACCAGGATGTCTGGCCAAGCAGGCAGGTGGTAAACCAATTGCAAAAATGGCTCTGATTCTCCAGCCAACTCTGAATCCACACCCTACGCAGTGTGACTTGGCTTCATCTCTCATCCAGAGCGGAGCCAATTAGCCCGCCCCTAGAATCTGGGCTGGCCTTGTTACATGACAGGAAACTGTGATAGAATGGTGGTGTGCCAGGTCTGAGGTCTGAGGTTAGACTTCAAGGGGCCTTCTGTGACTTTGTTTCTCCTGGACCCCTGCCTTCACTATGGGAACCATCCTGGCTATTTGGCTGGAGAATGAGAGGTCACACAAAGCCACCCCAGTTGTCCCAGCCAAAGCCCCAGACATGGGAGAGAGCCCTCCCTGCATGACTAGTAAAGCTGCCTAGCTGATTTACAGATGACATTTGATTTGTGAGTCCCCTGAGCCCAGCTCAGATCAGAACTGCCCAGGTGACTCCAAGATTCATGAGCAGTAAGTGGCTGCTGTTTTAAGTGACCAAGATTTAGGACAGTTTGCTACATGACATCATGTGACACATAGGTTCCCATTAGAAGGTGTTCAGGGAGAAAACAGAGCTAGTGCTGGCTTGCCAACTTGTGTACCTTCGCACCATACCCTCCTCCCCAGCATAGGGCTGGATTTACTTGGAGAGGGTGTTGGGGGTGGAGCCTATCATGTCTATGGATCTCACACAGGGATTTTAACTCACTGACATATTTCTCAGAGACACAGGCTTTGGTCATTCATGAAATCATCCAGCTTAAGCTGCTGGGGAGAAATGAACACCTCTAGCCACATCTGGATCTCTCTCCCCACCCCCACTGAATTATACATTTTGGTTAGCCTTCTTTTTTTTTTTAAGAGGGTGGGGAGGGGCAGAGAGAGAGGGAGAGAATCTTAAACTTAAATCTTAAACTGGCTCCACATCCAGCATGGGGCCCGACATGGGATTCGATCTCATGACCCTGAGATCATGACCTGAGCTGAAATCAAGAGTCGCTTAACCGACTGAGCCACTCTGGTGCCCCAAGTTTATATGGTGGCTGTGAGTGGGGGACAAGGAAAGAATATATACATGGCCTCAAAGAATAGTCTGGGAGATTGCCAGGAACTGAACGGGTCCCAGATACTGTCCAAAAGCAACATTAGCCATTTGATTGTAGGGAGAGAAAAAGAATCCGGGACAAATTTAAAGCCCATTGCAGACTTCTCTGGAAGAAAGTTAAGGAAAGAGGCAACAGGAATCTGCCTGATGTTGGGACTGCCAATTGGAACATGAAAAGGATGGAGGAAATTAACATATCCTCCCCATCCACAGCACCCCTGCTCTTGGTGTCCAGGTAACTGTCTCCTCTACCCCTGACCTCACCAGGGCCTCCAGACACACATGTGAAATGGCCTCTGGGATCCCAACTATGTCCCACTGTGTCATCTACCCCAACGTCCGCTCTGCTCATGTGACCCATTCCAGGGAACATCACCATGACCCAGCCAGGCAATCAGCTACCAAGTCCTGCTCACCCAGCACCTAAACAGCTTTCCATCCTCTCTGTCCCTACTTCACCACGCCATCCCACTCTCGGGCTCCCCAAACTGGACTCAAATTTGTTTGCTGGATAAAACCCCTCAATTCTACAGTCTGAAACCCCTCAGTTCTACAGTCTGACATCGCGGTCTTCCTAATCCAGTCCTCTCCTGTATTCCTGCCCAGCGTCTGTCCTCCCTTCCCTGCTTCTAGCTTCCAAGACCCAGGCTTGGTACACAGGCCCCCAGGTCCCTGCACTTGGGGATATCCTTTCTTCCAGTTTCTTCCAGGCAGCCCCAGGAGGCCAGGGCTGGGTGAGGAACCTCAAGGCCTGTCATGCTCACTGGCATGGCATGTTCAAGGGCATCTGTCACTTTGTCCAGGGTCCAGAGTGCATGTTCTGCAAGGGTGTCCCTCCAGCCTACTGGGAGCAGGCTCAGAAAGGAGATTCCGATGTCCTTGCTTGGGACAGAGAATGCTCTGGCCAAGCTCTGAGGGGCAGACAGCAGACACTGCCCCCAGGTGGGGGCCACTTCACAATCCACTCACTGGTGGAAGCCCTGCCACCCCTCCCTTGGGCCAGACCAGAGTCCTGAGGGTGTGCATAGCCAGCATCCTCTCCAAGACCCAGAGAGAGGCCGGGCAAAGCCAGGCCTTCCAGTGTGAGCATGCCTGTGGGCAGCTAAGGTTCACACTCTCCGAGGAGTTAGCACCTCCTCTCTGTCCCATCCCCCCAGTGCTCACTTGGAGCCAAAGCCAAGGCCCACAGAGGGGAACCAGGCTGACCCTGCACCTTCCCAGTGTCCAGAGCCTGACAGCTGAGGTAGCTGGAGACACGGGGAGGCCGGGCCCCATCTCTCACACCCAGGCTGCTATGGACTGCTCCAGGCTACTGGGATGGGCCTCAGGCAGGATGGACTCCGCAGGTCACCAGGCCAGGGGTGAAACCATCCCCGAGCTGCGTGGGCCATCCCCAGCCTCCAGGTCACTGAGTGCTCGCTGGAGAGGAAGAGGTACAAGAGGAGGGGCTGGTCAGTGGTCCCAGGAGCCCCTGACCCCTGACCTGCCTCATTCCCCTCTCTACCCCCCCAAAAAAAAGCCAGGGAAGAGACCTATCAGCCCCGTGGGGGTCGCATCACACTTGCTGGAGGCCCTTTCCCAATCTGGGCTTTATGGAGGCGTCTGCCTTTGACCCCTGGAGGGACTTCTAAGAGGCCCCTTAGATCTCCCATGATGGCTCACCTCGAACTTGCTCATGAACTCTGCAAAGATGCCAAAGAAGGCCTCAGAAGTGGTTGCTTTGGAGTCCTCACCGAAGAAGGCCAGTGCCCTGCCCAGCTCCTCCATGGCCTCATGTTGCAACCCGTCCAGTGCCCGCAGCACCGGCTGGGCTGTATCTAGGAAGGACTGATCAGCCTCTGTTAAGGAAACCACCCTCAGGTTCTCTAAGCTGCCTGGCTCCTGCCTGCCCCGTGCCCCACGCTCAGCTATGTCCAGCGGCTCCAGTGCCTTTGTACACTGCTCCCTCAGCTGCCTCTGAAGTCCACAACATCCAGGCCATCCATGTGTCTTCTCTGTAAGGCAGCCCTCTCCCTACTCTGGGCTCTTCTCAGATGCCATGACCCCTTCCTCCTCAAACACCCACATATAATAGCCTCCTGGCATTCTCTCGGTTTTGATCTCTCCTTTTTTTTCCCCTCGTAGTATCCATCCCTATCTGTGCTCAGTGGCAACATGACCCTCTCCTGATTCCCTTTGGCTGGTTAGGGCCTGAGAGGTCTGTCCTTGTATCTTGTGACTTGAGCCTGGGCTGCCCATGAGGACAGATGGGGCAAGGCAGTGGCTTTCAGATAGTCCAAAGAGCTCCTCTTCAGTTATGCAGACATGGTGTGAGTACCTGGATTCTAAATCACCAGGATGGACCCTCTGCCAGGACCCCTTGACCCACTTACAGGAGCCTTTGCCCAGAATCTCTGCTGGGACACAGGGTCTGCAGTGGCCACTGGAGTTGATCTTGAAGCCAGCTCTACCTGGCCACCCCAGGGCCCACCTTGTTACTGGGACAGGCAGCTCTTTGGATACCGTCATGACCACAGCAAACTTGTCCTCACTAGAGGGAGACATGCTCTGGCAAGCATCCTGTATCTCACTGATGGTGCCATGGAGGTCAGCCAGGTCACTGGTCAGGGCCCGTTGATTCACTGTTGGGAAGGCAACAGAGCCTCATGAGCACTGACATCCCAGCCCAGGACAGCAGTGCCTCTGCTTCCTGATCCATTGTCCATCCACTCAGCTTACCTTTGGCAGCCAGGGGCACAGTGGGCAGGTCCTGAGCAAAGCCCAGCAGTTCTGGGAAGTGCTGGCTCAGTGATTTGGCAAGGATGTGCAGGAAGGTGGACTTCCCATCCACAGTCTTTGTGGAATTCAGCTGTAAGTGATGCCCAACATACAACCTCCTCAAGGACCCCATCAGATTGCTGATCATATGGGTCTGGGTACCCTTAGCCCCACTTCCCCTGGAGTGTGGCAGCAGTTCCTGGCCCTTGACACTCACCAACTCCAAAGTTTCTAGTATTCCTCACTGTGAGGCTCTGCTGGGATGCCCATGGGCCTCCCTAGGAGTTTGAAAGCTCTCCAGCCCAGATCTTTGAGACACCTCCCCACCCCACCACCCAGGAACCAGGCTCATAGCCACCAGCTAGAGGAGGCCACCAGCTGTTCTGTCCTTGGGAGCGTGCTCTTGTCAGCAGATATAAACCAAAATTTTTCTGACCCCCAGGGGAGCACCACTCACATATCTTCCTTCCTGTGATTTTCTGGAACCATCTCTGGCCCACCTGTGCCTCAGACATCCTAAAACATTCATGTCTACAAATGGAGATTTCTTCCTCTCTTTTAAAACAACAAAAGGTACCCCGGTAAAAGGTCTCAGAAACAGTGGGAAGGCTGGATATTCCAGTTGTCCTTTCTCAGATCCTAGATCTTTCAAGGTTAGGATGGCCTGGCAATCGTGGTGTTATTAAGGGCACAGAACCTACCAAGTGGGATTCTCTCCTTCCTCCTGGAGTCTCCCCTCCCTGCCCCCCCCCACTCCATTTCCCCAGATCCTGAGGCTTGCCTTGCCGTTTAAAAGCCTCCCACCCCCAACCTTTGCTGCATTCCAGCCTGCAGGCAGCCAGCTTTTGCTTCTGGGGAAAGGGCCCTCCTTGGCCATGATATTCTCTTCTCTCCTCTGCCACAACTTGGGTTGGGCCTGACCTCCCCATCCTCGATGGTAGAGCATGCTCATCGATTACTGCCAGCTGGTTCCCTCACCTCTGTCAGGAAGTTGATCTTGAAGCCTGTGGTCTTGTTGGTTTTAGGCTGTCCATCATTGAGATAGTTGCCCATGGCCAACACAAACTGTGGAAAGGAAGGTGGGCAGGTCCTGCCCAGGTCCTCACCTCACCCCCTGGACCACCATCATGGTGGACCTCCAGACAGGAAGCCCCAGGGGGCAGACAGGCAGGTGGAGTGACCAGGGAGGGGGTGCGCCCTGACCTCCAGGATCTTGGCAAGCTTCCGGCTGTTCTTGAGCTCAAGGGAGGCCTGGCGCAAGCACTCCAGGCTGCCCCGGATCTCTTCCGTCTTCTCTTGTAGGGTGGCTTGGAAGTGGAGGCTGCGCAAGCGGGTTTTGTATTCGGGAACGGATAGCATCTGTCATGAAGGCAAAGCCAGGATTCACCCGCCCCACCAGGAGACCCACTGCCCCACCGCAGCCTGGGGTGGGGGTCAGCCGGCAAACCGGCATTCCCTCGAGAAAAAATAAGCCCCCAAAGGAAGCACAATCCCATCTACCTTGGACTCCAGGTGGGAACCGGACGTTAATGGGACTCAGGCACGGGCGCAGCGGCCGTAGGGGAGCGGGACCCACACAGCCCCGGTTACAACGAGGGCCCTGACAGAGGCGGCCAAGGCCACTGGGCAGCACCCCCTGACCCCTGGCGGCCGTCACGGCCGCAGCACCTGCAGGACGAACTGGTCGGGCTCGCTGAGGCGGCCGGGCGCCTCGCGGAAGGCCTGGTAGCGCTGCTCCTCGTCGGCGTCGGGCGCGAAGAGCAGCAGCTGCGCCAGGTGCGCGGGCTCCAGGCGCCGGGGCTCCATGCTCATGAGCACCTGCCGCAGCTCCGCGGGGCTCAGCTTCAGGTGAGCGAGCAGGATGGCTGCGGGCGGGGCCGCGAGCGTGAGCCGGGGGCGGGGCCAGACGGATGGTGGGCGGGGCCAGACGGATGGTGGGCGGGGCGACTGGACGGAACCTGGGCGGGGGCGGGGCCGGCCCAGAGACGGAGAGGGTCCTTCCCACGGCCGAACAGAGGTGAGGACAAGGTTCTCGAAGGGATAGACAGGTGGGGCCTGTGGCGGTGGCGCCAGAAACGAGGGAGGAGACCGCGAGAGAGAGAATAGGGGATGGCCGAGGCGTGGCCAGAACTCGGGAGCCTTAGACCCTTGGGGGCGGGGCCAACGGGGGGGCCAACGAGGAGGCCAAGGAGGGGGGAGCCCAAGCGCGCACCTGCGCCTTGGAGGGATCTAGGACCCCAGAAGGGGCCTTCACCCAGCCGGTGTCGGGCCCCCAAGAACTAATGTGGCATCCACACAGGTGGATCCAAAGCTCTGCGGCCCAGAGGGCCACCTCCTGTCCCCCATACCCCTGGGACTCCCCAACCCCTCACAGGTGTTGTAGGCCTTCTTGTGAGACAGGATCTCCACCACCTCTTTCTTCCTGAAGGGCTCAGGCCCAGGCACCGGCTCTGGAAGGCAAAATGGTTTAATGATAGGAGTCCAAGCTGGTTGGAGGACCCAGGAGGGGTTTGGCCACACCCACAGTCCAGCTCCAGGGGTCCAGTTTCTTCCTTCCTCACCCTCCCACTCTCGGGGTTAGTGCAACATTCTCAGCATGGGCAGTGCGTGCCCCTCCCCCACCCTCTCTCCCCTGGGTCCTTGGGGCTGAGCTGTCCAAGGAAGGTGAACTAACCACCTCTCCACCTTGCAGATGCTTCCTTGATGGACAAAGGCCTTTCTCTTCCATCCTGGAACCACCTTCCACACATAATATTCCTCACTGCCTAGAGTCCCACCCGATGACTATAGGGAGATACCCCGAAAAGGGCAAGGGGACAGAGAGAATGGAAGGGACATCTAGTCTCCTAGATATGGTTACCTCCTGATACCCTTATTCTGGCTGTGTGGCTTTGAGCAAATTACCTAGCTTCTCTGTGCATCTTCATGAGGAAGTTAAGGTGATCACAGTTTCTACCCATAGAATTGTCACAGGATTAATTTAGAAACAGGGGGGTGTCTGGCATTTGGTGAGCATGGAATAAATACCAGCTACTACGATTATGTCCACTTTGAGATGGGAAAACTGAAGCTCTGGGAGGTAAACTCAGGGACACAGGAAGTAAATGGCAGTCAGCACAGACTTCTGGGACTCTAAGCCCTGGGATGCCACAGAAGGCAGCAGGTGGGCTTCCACAGATGGCTTGGTATGAGGGTTCCCCCAGGACCCCCAGGCCACTCACTAGTAGGTTTCTGGGTGCCAAAGTGCAGCTCCAAATCGAGGTATTTCACCATGTCGCTCAGCTTGTCATAGTCAGAATCTTCCCCTAGCTGCAACGCACGGGTCGGGGAGGCCAGGAGAGATTCAGAGGGAGGAGGAACACTGGCAGCTGGACTGCCACCCCCCACACCACACATCCTCTAAGGGCTGCCCTGGGAACTACTAAGGGAGAGCCTTCATCAGGCCCTGGGAGAGAACTGAGGACCAGAGGAGACTGCAGGAGAAGCTAAATCATCCAAGTTATGGGGTGGTGAACTGCCTCCTTGTGAGGACAGTAATGCACACAAGCAGAAGGCAGCAAGTTTCAGTGGAGCAGGGGGATAAAGGGACTGCTAAGGGACTGAGGCCAACCAAGGGGGCTAACGGAGGTGGCTGAGAGGTCTGGCCCTGTTTTGAGGGGTCCTTTGCAGGGGGTGAGTTCAGCAGAGCTGCCCTGAGCTTCTGATGCTGAGGGAATGGAAGCAGGGAAATGCCAGGCACTAGAAACTGGCCAGGGTCTTGTCTTCAATGCTGCTCCCCAGGCCAGACTCCCCTGGTACAGGGCACCCCAGGCCCCAGGCCACCTACCTGACCCCAGATGGTGCCTTCCGAGTTCTCTACCTGCTCCCATCGCAGGCGCTTGACGCTCATGTGGCTGGTCTCACTTCGACGGTGGCCCAGGCCCCGGGACAGCATTGGGGGTGCACAGGGCACCGGTGGGGGCAGGGGGGGCGGGGGCGGTGGAGGGACTGGGTGGCTGAGTTGGGCGAGGGGCTTGGCCAGCGTCTGAGCAGGGCCCCGGGGACCATCAGGGGTGCGGGAGCTGGGCTTGGGGTCATGGAAGGGCAGGGGTGGTGGAGGTGGGGGGCTGAGCGGGGGTGGGGGGATGTGGTCGGAGATGGAGGAGTAGGTCAGGGAGCTGCCTTCCTCACTGCTGCTGATGCACTCACTAGCGCTGCTCCGCTCATTGGTCACAAAGCTTCCCTGGTCATCGTGGAAGCTCATCTGCCCGGGGCAGAGCAAGGTGAGGGATGGTGAGATAGCCTGGGGCAAGGGGTGGGATAACCTGGGGACAAGGATTGGATAGTCTGGTGGGTTAGCCTGAGGCTGTGGGTAGGATGGCCTGACAAGTAGTCTGGGAAAAGGAATGGGGTGACCTGAGATGAGGTATATGGGGGAACCTTGATTGAGGGGTGTCATAGCTGAGTTAAAGGGTGGGATAGCTCAGCCAGGGGGTGGGGTAGTCTGGGACAGATTTCAGGATGGACTGGAGCAGGGAGAGGAGTAGCCTGGGGCAGATCCCAAGGGCAACAGGATTCTTGCAGGAGCCCAGGGATACTGTTCCCCTTACAGACCCCCATGTCACCCCTGGGCCCCTGACCCTCCACATCTGCTGGCATGTGCTCACCTCCTCGTAATCGTTCTCAGGGCTCAGGAAATCATCCACAGCAGTGACCCGGGGACCCAGCTGCTCACTCAGCACATCCAGGAAGCGGTCAGTATCCCGGCTTCGCACGGGGCGGGAGAAGGTGAAGAGCTTCCTGCGGCTGGGTGGGCGGGCAGGGTCCGGGCTTGGGGGGCTGTCAGAGCGGATGGGCCCAGGGTCTGGCTGTGGGGAGGGCGCCCTGCTGCTGTCCAGGCTGGCGTAGGGGTGGGACTCAGAGCTGCTGGGGGAGGCCAGGCCCCCTGAACACAGTGGGTAGTAGCAGGGGGAGGGCAGGAGCCGCTCGCTGGGCCACGAGACGCTGGACAGGGTCCTGGGCCCTGGGGTGGGGGATCAAGCGTGAGGACCCCTCTTCAGTCAGTACCTGGGTTCCAGGTGCAGGCTGAGGGTAGGGGCCGGGGGCAGGTTGGCTCTGTGTCCCTGGGTACCTTCCTTTCCCTCTCTGGACACAGCACAAGAAGACCCTAGATGACCCTGCCTCCCCAGGCCTTTATCTGAGGGAAATCACAGGTCAGAGCAGGTGAGAGGGAGCACTACTTAGCCCCAGGAAAGGCCAGACCCCAGCTTATCTTGGAAGGGACCTCAGGGGTCCCACCTAGGACCAACTGAACACAACTGAAAGGACAGAGGGGGACTTCTCCAGACCCTAGATCAAGGATCATGAGGTGGTTCCCACACCCACCAGGCCCTTGGCTGACAGGAACATTGTCCAGGGGTCCTGCCTTCTGAACTGCAGAGAAACCATCTTCCCAGTTGTGCCATTCACAGAGCAATGCGTGCATTTAATAGTTTATCCAACAGCCACATGCTAACCTGGGGCTCCTTCAAGGGAAGACCTCTGCTTTTCTAAATCTGCAGTAGGGGTAAGGATCATAGGGGACATGGGAAGGCCTCTGATGACCTTGACCTTGAGGGACCTTTGCCATGGAGGCTGCTGAGGTTCCCCACAACTCAGTCACATGGTCATGGAACAAAGGGGAGGCTCCAAGGATGTGCCCCAGATGGGGGCAACACCTAGATAGGTAGCCCAGAGGCCACAGGCCAGTGCTGCTTTCAGGAACCGGGGCTGGCTGAGCCCCTACCTGCTGTGCCTGCCGGGCTGGGCACTGGTGGGGAGGCACGGGATCTGGACGAGGTCCCCACCTTCCCTTTGAAGCTGCTGTTCAGTCGGGACTCAAGCTCTGCATAGACGGCCGACATCTTCAGGGAGAGGAGGCCAGGGTGAGTCCAGCCCACCCTCACCTCCCCCATGAGGCCCTCACATAGCCTCAGAGGTCAGGCCTGGGTGATCAGGAAGGCAGGGATCTGCCCCAGCCCCATGAGCCACCTATTCCCAGTGGCCACAGAACCACCTGGAGGGCAGTGAGGTCTCACCATCTTAGGATTGGGGGTCTCAGGGAGGGACGTGCCGTCGCCTGCCTGGCGCTCGCCTGGGATTAGAGGAAGAGGCATCTCGGGGCAGTCGCCGGGACCTGCCAGGGGAATCGGGGAGGGTGGAGTCTACCATGGAGCAGTCTAGTGACCCCTCTGAGCTCTAAGGCTTGGGTTCATAGCCATGGAGAAAGAACCAGCAAGCCCTGGTGGTTGGTCCATCAGGAGGGCCATCACTCAGCCCTGCTTAACCTGTTCTCGGGGATCTCTCATCTCACCCACCCCATTCTGCAGGTGGGAAAACTGAACCCTGCTGGCATCCTCACACCCAGTCCCGCCTTTTGGTCCAGAGCCTCACCGCAACTGAGGCTGGCCTCCAGACCTTGGGACCGCAGGCTGCGGCGGCACATGGAGGAGGCCCTCAGGGAACTCCGCCGCTGGAGTTCCAGCACCGGCTCAGGCTCAGGCTCAGGCTCAGGCTCAGGCTCCAGGTCCAGCTCAGGCTCCGGCTCTGCTGTGCAACATGAACAGGAGATGGGCCCCTTGTGTTCTCAGCCAGCCAAATGGCCTCCAAATACAGGAGTGAAGGCAGCAGTTGTCTGCACCAATCTGTGACCCCAGGCCCTGCTTCGCATGTGGGGTAAGATGCCAGATTCCAGGTCTAGGCAGACATATGGAACATTGCTACCCAGACTATGTTCTGAGCCTCTTGCTAAAACCCTCGAGCCTCTTCCAGCAAATTGTGGGTCCCCAGGACTAGGGACAGTGGAACACAAGGGCCAGAATGTAGGATATCTGCAAGCTTTACCATAGCAGGTGTAGAGTGCCTTGAACAAATGCACAGTGTTTGGCACACTTTCGACTCCTGTGGCCTCAGTGATAACATGCATGGTTGTATGGGCACCTGGGGCCCACTGTAAGAGGTATGGGCACCTGGGGCCCACAGTAAGAGGTATGAAGCAGTTGGAAACTGAGGCCGCAGATGGTCTGGCAGGCCCTACTGTGTATCTGTGTGCATCAAGGCTCACCAATCAGGTGTGACCTGGCTGTGTGCTTGCTACCCAGCTCTGCAAACAGAAACCACATGAATTTCTTGATCTGTGACATATTTCTTGGTGTGTGATGTACAGCCACTGAGGTCACTTCCATTCTGTGGGTGAGAGCCTGGGGTTCCGGGTGGATAGGTAGGGTGTCTAGAGTCCAAGGTAATGTTGCAGTGCTACTTAAAGATCAAACTGAGAAGGCACATTTGTGGGGGCAAGTGTAGGACCAGCCTGGGTGCGGCCGGCATGGGTCTGCATGATATGGAGGTCCATTTATATGTGGGAGAAGCCCAGGTCGGCTGTAATCTGAGAACAGGTGTCTGGCTTTTCACCTGGTGGGCTGGAGAGGGGGAGAGGCTGCTTACCTGTCATAGCTGTGTAGCCCAGGAAACATGCAATTTTCTCCTGGCAGAGCTCCTGCTCCTCGTAAGTCAGCAGCTGGTAGATGAACTGCCAAAGGACTTGCTTGGCAGGTGTGTCCAGCACAGGGTAGACATCCACAATGAGGGTGTCAATGTTCCTGGGGAAGGGTGCAGAAGCAAGGGGTTCATTTCTCAGGGGCTCAATGCAGGGGAGGGAGAGAGGGATATGGGGGCACTGCAGGCCATGGAACCCACCCCGGCCAAAAGAGAGAAGTGAGGGAAGGTAGGAATGCAGGCCCTGGTGATGGGCCACCCTGATTCAAATCCTGGCTCTGTCACTTACCAACCAAGTGACCTTTCTCATACTTAATTCCATTGTGCCTCAGTTTCCTCCTCTGTAAAACATGGATAAAAATAGCATCTACCCCATAGAGTCGCTGTAAGATGAAAACACACAGTGCATTGGGCAAGTGGATTCATTATATCAGGGATTGGTAAATGATGGCCTACAGCCTAAAATCTGGCCCACCTTCTGTTTTTGTAAAGAAAGTTTTATTGGAACACAGCCATGACTGTGTATTTATCCATTGTCTGTGGCTGTTTTCGAGCTACAATGGCAGGGTTGAATAGTTTCTGTGGAGACCATATGGCCCACAAACCCTAAAATATTTAACATGTGGCCCTTTGTAGAAATAGTTTGCTGATCCTTGGACTATATGGGAAAATAAAACTGGATCCTCTCGTAACACCACACATAAGGATGAACTCTAGGTGGATAAAGGACAACATATGAAAGCCAAAATTGTAAAATAAATAGAAACAGTGCAGGAAAATATCTTTTGGGCAGGGGTGGGGGGTGGGGTGGAGAGAGAGTTCTTAAAATTTCAAAAGTCAAAGCCATAAGGCCCAAAATGTACTGAATTTGATTTTACAAAATCAAGGATATCTGTTCAAAGAAGCCCACTTTTGGCACATTGATATTAGATATAAAAGAAATAATAACAAGAAAAGTGGAAGATGTTTACAATGTCTAAAATCAACAAGCAACCAGTGTCTAAAATATACAAGGAACTCCTCCAAATTAACAAGAACAGAAAGCCCGTAAAATAAAAATGCATTAAGGGTCTAAAAAGGTATTCTATAGATAAAGAAACAAAAAAAGCTAACAAGGCTATTAAAAGATGTTTAAAATAATAATTTAAAAGCCAAAAATAGTGGGATACCTGGGTGGCTCAGTAGTTGAGCATCTGCCTTTGGCTCAAGTCGTGATCCCAGGGTCTTGGGATCGAGTCCCACACCGGGCTCCCCTCGAGGAGCCTCCTTCTCCCTCTACCTGCATCTCTGCCTCTATCTGTCTCCCTCTCCGTCTCTCCTAAATAAATAAATAAAATCTTAAAAAATAAAATAAAATCCCAAAATAGGGGCACTTGGGGTAGCTCAGTCAGTTAAGTGTCCTCCTTCGGCTCAGGTCATCATCCCTGGGATCCAGCCCCATGTTGGGCTCCCTGCTCAGTGGGGAATGTGAGGAATCTCAGTGGGGAATTCCCTCTCCTTCTGTGCTTGTTCTCTCATGCGCTCTCTTTTTCACTCTCAAATAAATAAAAATCTTAAAAAAAAAAAACGAATACACAAAACCCAAAATAAAATAAGATGTCACTTTATGCCTAAAAGACTAGCACGAGTAGAAAGCTGGATAGTGCCAAATGCTGGTGAGGACATGGGGATGAGGGAGCCCCGAGGATATGAGTGATAGCAGTGCTCTGGGAAGCAATTTGGGAAGATCTAGTCAAAATCAGAAAACAAACACCTTAATAGCCAGCAAGGCTGCTCTTAGATATAAATTTCAAATGAATCATACACAGCTCAATGGGGAAATGTGCATGATGATGTTCATCACTACTATCAAGATGGAAGAGAGTGGTGACAAGCCTGTTTCTATCACTGGCAGGTAAATAGATTAGACCTGCACCCTTGGTCCACAGGAATTTGGCCACAGTTATAAACAATGTATTAAATGTATACAGAGGGGGGCTCCTGGGTGATTCAGCTGGATAAGTGCCTGACTTCGGCTTAGGTCATGATCCCAGGGTCCTGGGATTGAGTCCTGCATGGGGCTCCCTGCTCAGTGGGGAACCTGCTTCTCCCTCTCCTTCTACCTACTGCTTCCCGTGTGTGCTTGCTTGTGTGCTCTTTTTCTTTCTCTGTCAAATAAATCAGTGAAATCTTACATGTATACAGAGCAACATGGGCAGATCTAAACAAATAGCACTTGGTGAAAAAAAAAGTCACACAGAATATGCACAGAATATCCCCAACTGTGATGTAGAACAAAAATATATCATGGGGGGGGGGGGCATGTGGCTGGCTCAGTGGGAAGAGCATGAAACTCTTGATCTCAGGGTCGAGAGTTTGAGCCCCATGTTGGCTGGGTGTAGAGATTACTTAAAAAAAAAAAAACTTAAAAAAATACATCCTATGAAACAGCAATGCCCACACTTCAAGAATACATCAGAGAAAAGGATGTCCATTAAACTCATGGGACTGGTGGCCTTGGCAGGGGAGGGACACAGAAGGGGGAGGGAGCTAAAAGGGAACAAAAGGTGGAAACAAGCCAAGTGTCCATCACGGATGAGTGCACAGACAACATGTGGTCCATACACACAGTGGAATGTTATTTGGCCAAGATAAAGGGAAGAAGTAGATGTTCTGTATTGGATGAACATTGAAAACATGATGTTGAGTGAAAGAAGCCAGACATAAAATCCCACACATACTACAGGAGCCTGTTCATAGGAAAGCCCAGAATAGGGAAAGCCTCAAAGACCCTAACATAGATTAGCAGTTGTTTGGGATGGGGGAGGGGTGGCGGCCAAAGAGGAGGGGATGACAGCGAAGAGGTGCAGAGTTTCTTTTTGAGGTGATGAAAATGTTCTAAAATGGGAGTGTGGTGATGGGTGCTCAGATTTGTCAATGAAAAAGCTGTGCACTGTCCACTTAAAAGAGTGAATTTTATGGTGTGTGAATTTTGTCTCAATAAAGCTGTTTAAACAAAAAAAGAAAAGGGGGTGAACAGGTGAGGGGTTTGCACAGACCATGACAATGACCCTCTGGACCAAGGAGGGTGACAGATGCTGGCCGCTGCTGGCACTCAGGTACAAAGAGGAAAACCCCAAACCAACCCCAACAGACCTGGCCGGCTAGTAGCAAATGCCCACAGGCTAGTCTTGTGACCTTCCCACAAACAACGTTGCAGGTCAGCACTTCACTTTGCAGGGACTAGGTCACGTGGCTAGGGGGTTTCAGAGGCAGGGTTTATGGTAGGGCACTTTGACCACCACTCTGGTGGCCCTGGTACCAGCTGCTGCTTTCTCTGAGTCTCTCCCAGGAGAAGGAGACTCGGGAGGCACAGACAGGGAGACCCGCATGGTGAGTCTAGGCAGGATTGGAGGCCCACCCAGGGCAGCTCATACCACCCCTCTGGCCCAGCCACCTGTGCTGGAAGAAGCTCTCAAGGGCCCGGCAAACCCCATAGCGCTCGGGAGGCGTGAGTAGGTGCTCCAGCTGCTGGCTGAAAGTCCTCCCCTGCACCCGAATACTGGAAGGCAGGATCTCCGCCACCCACTGCAGGGAGGTGAGCGCCGAGGACGGGTTGGGGGAATCCAAAGAATCGGAGTCTGTCAGGGCCACAGGCAGGAGAGGCACGGGTGACCCAGCATCCCCAGGTCAGATGCAGTTTCTCTTGCAGCTGGGGTGAGTGCCAGGCTTCGGGAGGCACACCTACTGCCAGAGTCTGGAGACAGGGACAGAGGGACAGCCCCAGGCAAGGCCCTGAGGCTGTCCCACTGGAGTCTACAGTACCACTTGGGGAGGGAGGCTGCAGGTGTGGGGGAAAAGCAGAGTCCTCTGTGGACTTGTAAGTCCCACATGTGGAGACCCTGGCAGGGTCTCCATGGGCCATGAAGCCAAGTGGCAGTGGGTGTCTCACCGCTGGCAAATGGGACGAGCCCTTCCTCCACCACCAGTGTGGGCATTGCACCACTGCCTTGAAGCATGGACACCACCTTGTCATGGGAGCAGTTCCTGCCAAGAAGAGATGGCCCAGGAGGGCCTGACCAGGATGAGACCTGTCCACAGCCACCCACCAGTTATCCATGTCCTGCCTGTAGAGGCCACTCAGCAGTCTGAGGCTGGGCCAGGACCAGGAGCCAGGGCCCTGCCTCTCCTGCCTATTTATCTCCTCTGCAAGAGAAGCTCCAGGACCAGGACCAGCTGGACACTTCTGGGTGCAGAGGGGTTGTTCCCATGTCATCCCTAGGCAGGGCTCCCCCGAAAGGGCAAGACACTCATAGTCCATGTAATTCTGTGTCTCAGGGCACCTGGCTGGCTTTGGCAGGAGAGCATGTCACTTTTGATCTCAGGGTTGTAAGTTCAAGCCCCACATTGCCTTTGGCCCAGAGCGCGATCCTGGAGACCCGGGATCGAATCCCACGTCAGGCTCCCGGTGCATGGAGCCTGCTTCTCCCTCTGCCTGTGTCTCTGCCTCTCTCTCTCTCTCTCTCTCTCTGTGACTATCATAAATAAATAAAAATTAAAAAAAATCTTTAAAAACAAAAACAAAACAAACAAACAAAAAAACCCCTCTGTATTCCTTGCATGGAGCTGGGGTACTTTCTGGTTGGAAGGATGAAGTGACATCCTATCTAGTCTGAGGGGGCAAATTCAAGAGTTCCCATAGGAAGAGGGGTAGATCCTGGAGACAAACTGGTCATAGGAGATTGGGACCATGGGCTAGGTGTCCCAAAAGTCAAGAGTCTTGGAAGATGGGTTTGTCACCCAGCTCTGATGTCCCCAGTAGCCTCTGACCTCATGTCTAGTCCATTGAGGAAGAGGATCCGGTCACCTGACTTGAGGGACGCATTGTCAGCCGGGCTCCCTAGAAGCAAGAAGAGAGTGTGTGCTGGTCAGCTAGGCAGGGCTGCAGTCTGTGAGCCCATTTTACAGGTGCCAAATAGGATGAGTGGCAAAGGAGAGCCAAATTCAGGCCAGCACATCCCACATTAGACCCAGCATCCCTCTGCTCTCAGCTGCTCTGAGCAGGGAGTGAGCCCCTGGGTAAGGGTGGGAGGGTTTGGGGCACAGTGTGGACCTCTGATCAGCCTGAGCTGTTGCGGGAGAGCAGAAACAAGGAAGTTTGTTGGGAGCCGTATTTCTGTAGCATCTGTACACATGCTGAGAACCCCGATCTCTGCCCTGCATGTAACAGTTCACATCATAGATTCCTCTGTGTCTTTGTTATTGGGAGAAAATGCATCTGCCTACAGGGAGGCAGCTTCCTCCCCCAGGCTGGGAAACGTGGCGTGTTAATCATGCTTATTTGTTTCTGTACTTCCTGAGGCTTTGGTATTTTGGGGTCTTGCTGAACCAGGAAGCACAGCCTTCCAACTGGCTAGCCAATTCCTACATGGTAAATAACTGACCCAGAAGAGGTCTTCTTGTATGCACACCAACTGATCCAGCGCCCACGCCCACACCCCTTCCCGATGGGGCGCTCACATCCTGGGCCACATCTGCATACTCCCCTAATCTCCCAGGGCCAGGTACCTGCCAACTGGGGACAGCTCCTCTGCCTCAGAGCCGGCTCGGACTAATCCTGTACCTGCTCAGCCTGCTTTGCCTATCCTTCCCTTCCCCATGCACTATGGCCCTGTGTGTTATGGCCCTGAGTGCTGTGGCATGCCCCCTGCTCTTGGGAACTGTGAGGGACAAGCTCTTCTTTAAATGGTAACCATCTCTTGATCTGTTGGCCTCACCATACCAGAATAATAATAAAACCTGCATTTTATACACATGGGAGCAGCTGATTCTCACTCTGCCTGGGTAGCCTTGAGTAATGTAACACCTGGGGAGGGGACTGGTAGATTTGCTCCTGTGGATGTCGGGTTTTTTATTTTTTGTTTTTCCTTTCTGCCTCTTTTGTCAGCTGTTAGTCTAAATTTGATTGGGGGGAGGGGGTGCCTGAGTGGCTCAGTTGGCTAAGTGTCTGCCTTTGGCTGCGGTCATGATCCTGGGGTCCTGGGATTGAGCCTTGCATCAGGCTCCCTGCTCAGTGGGGAGCCTGCTTCTCCCTCTCCCAGCTGCTGTTCCCCCTGCTTGTGCTCTCTGGCTCTCTCTATTAAATAAATAAAATCTTTAAAAAAATAAATTTGATTTGGAAGCAAGGGGGGCTAGTGACAAATGCCTAAAGAAAATCTCAGATTGTGAGGAATTCTGTGGTGAGGCTGTGGGGTTTGTCCAGGGAGGAAGAGGGAGCTCATGAAAGACTTGCTGGGAAGGGGAATCCTTCCCCTGGGACTGAAAAGAAGGAGAGGGGAGGACGATGGTGGTGATAAATCCAACCTGGCCTGTCGGGAAGCTTGGGCCAGCCTGGGGTGGGAGGGCCAGAGGGATTGTAGCTGGGGATTCAAGATCACTGGATCAGGAGTCAGGAGATCCCAGGCTCTGGTCCTTGCTTTGCCAGAGCCTCTAAAGGCCTCAGTTTCCCAATCTGTAAAAGCTCTCACTGAAGCATCCACTTGGCTTCCTATGAGAAGGAAGGAATGGGGTTTCCAACCTGGAGGCTGGCTGGGGAGAACATCACAGCTGGATTTGAAACATGGCCCCAGGCTCGTATCCCTGTCTGCACCTATAGGGGATGGGAGGTAGTAGTGCTGGTTGTGGCACAGTTGGAAAGGAGAAAGAGGAGAGATTACTCATTTCTAAAGGACCAGTCGTGGGCCTTTTCCCTACAACACTGTGTTGACAACTTAGTAATGCACAAATTTGAGAAGAACTGGGACATGTCAGTCTCAAAAGGATTTGGTCTCAAAATGATCGGATGGCTGGAACAATGATGCAAAGGCAGGAGGGCACTTTCTTGGGGAACAGGTGTCCAATCCACAAATCCCTGCATGAGAGGTGCGAGATGGGGAAGGGTAGAAAGGAGTCATCATGAGCAGGGCCACCAATGGGGATGCATCACCAGGAGCATCATCCTCAGGTGCTGGGAGGATATGGGTGCAGGACAGAGAGAGCGGGTCACCCAGCCCTGTGGGGCGGTCAGCGGGAGGGAGGGTTCAGTTTAGCACCACCAAACATTTCTGCCCCACAGAGACCTTCCACAATGGAATGTGCTACCTCAGGAAGAAATGAGTTTCTTCCCAGACTCCCCCCACCCACCCTGGAGAGGCAGGAAGAATTCTTGCACTGAGAAGGCTCTGCCTTCTTCAAGATATCACTGTTCCAGGATCAAAAAGAGGCAGGCTGGGTGGGGGTAGGAGGAGAGTCCAGATTGGGGGTAGGGGACCATATAGCGGGCAGGGATCCCGAGGGCCTGATGCTTCTCAGAGTCTGGCCTGCCCAGCAAGTGCCAGTTTATAGTGGGCACTCCACGCAGGGCATGCTGTTTGGGTGCAGCCTGGGCAAGCATCAGGTGTGTCCTGGCTATCCAGTGTCTGAGGCAGGGCCCCCAGCCCTCCCCGTGGACATAGGAAAGGTCTGGATGGAACATTTGGCTCTCTGAGCTCAGTGACCCTGAGTTTGGTGAAGTTTGCCCCAACTCAGAGAGTGACTCTGGGACACTTAGAGGACACAGGCTAAATAAGGTGAGAACCTAGGGGGAGAGTGTGTGTGTGTGTGTGTGTGGGGGGGGTGTTACTGAATATCAGCCTAACAGGCTTCATCCCATCCTAGACAACCCGCCCACCCCTCACCAGGCAGGACAGACTCGATCCAGACAGGCCCGTGACCGCGCAGTGTGAAGCCGAAACTCTTGTTGCCCTTGTAGACTCGGACTGTCCTGGGAAGAAAGAAAGGGCGGGGTGGGGGGCTGGCAGCATGGGGAGAGGGAGACTGGGCCGGGAGGGGGGTGTGGAGGCGGTAGAGGATAGAGATGTCCCGCGTCCTGCCCTCCACCCCCACCCCCAGGTGTCCACGCCGGACCCCAGCCCTCTGCCCAGATGCGCATCCCAGCCCGCCCACTAGGAGGCATCCGCGGCCCGTGCCCGCGCGCCCCGGGTACCTGCGCGCGCCCCCCGGGCCCGCGCGGCCGCCCAGCAGCGAGGCAGCCTTGCGCGGGGGCGGCTCATCCGGGCGGCGCGGGGCGGCGCTGGCGCGAGTGGACACCAGGAGGCGCTCCGGCCGCTCCTCGCTGCGGCTCCGGCGCAGCCGCTGCGCTCCCTGCGTCCGCCGAGCGCGGCACAGCTTGCCCAGCAGACCCTGCGACACCACCTCGTCGAAGCGTGCTCGGTGCTTCTTGGGGATGAAGATCCTGCCGGCGAGGACCGCTGAGTCGGGGCGCGCCCCCAGACCGCGCCCTATCGTGCCAAACCGCGGCCTAAAGTCTCCTGTCTTGGGCGCCGACCTAGGCTCTCCCCCCGCCCCTCCCGAGGGGTAACAGGGGAACCAGCAGCCGGCGCCTCATTCTCCCCCGCGGTGCTGGCACTTGCGCCCCAACCGGCGGGGGCGGGGGGGGGCACACAAGGACCACGGTGCCCGGCTCTCCACCTCGGAAAAGTCACAATCGGACCGCCCCCATTACTCAGGGCCCCCAATCCCATCCGTGGACCTTTTCCTCCTCCTGTCTCTGCCTTCCCACTTCTGGCCTTTCTCCTCATTTCATGCCCTTGCACCTGCCAGGCCAAACCCCAGCAGGGATCCCCCACCACCCATCTTCTTCTTACCTGATTCCCCGCAAGTGCTCTGCTGGAGGAAATTGAAACCACAGCCCGGCCACGGTCAGACTTCCTCCAGACACTCATCACACTCCCAGCCGTCCTGCTTGCTTCTCTGCCCAACCCTTTCTATAGCTGCCTCTTCAGAAATTGCCAGAACTGCCACATCCAGCCCTACCTCTTACACTCTTGCCCTGGCTGCAGCCCTTCGCCCAGGGTCCTCTCTCTGCTTCCTAGCTACACTGGGCTCAACCTTCAACGCCCAGCGCTGGCCCTCTGTGAGTTTGATCTTACATGCTTCAGTAAGACTCTGTTGTCTGTGCCAGCCAGGCACTTGGGTTCAGAGCTGAAGGCTCTGTGGTTCCTCCTCTCAGAGAGGGCACCTGGATGTGATGGGAGGCAGTGGGGAGGCTTGGATGGACCCTGTGCGGAGCATACACCCTGGCATGATTCCCTGGTACCTGTGAGTGTCCTCTGCAAGGCTGGAAGCTCCCTGAGGGCTAGATCTGTAGCTGGGCTGAGAGCCATAGTGACCAGTCAGAGGTTGGCACAGGGAGGGACTCAGTGACTCAGGAAACAAGGGGGGGGGGTCCGCCAGCAGCATAAGCGTACCTCTCCAAGTAATGGCAGCAGTTAACATCCTAGTGGACTCTCTGTGGCAGAGGATCAGGGGGCTCAGAGGAGATCTGTTAACTTGCCAGGGCTACGCAGCTGGCCCTGGGCACAGCTTGGACAGAAGGCCAGCCTCTGAGCCTCAGCACTGTGGCAGGACTCTGCTGAGGGCCTCTGAAGTTCTGGTTGCTAGTGAGGCCTCCCTGACTGCATCCCAACTTTCCTTTCCATGCTCTTTGTACCAGGAGCCAGTGCCAAGGGCATGGTGGGGAGGAGGAAGGAAGATGGGAACAATGGCTCTGCAGCCAACTGAAATACAACTCCTCTGAGGTTGTCTGGAGTCCTCCACTCAGTTCTCCTGACTTCTATGGGCAGGATTTTAATAAGACTAGGCAGGCAGTATAAGCTGCTACTCAACTCCTCCAGGAGCATTCTGGCCTGATGCTCATCCTCACCCATTCACAGTGATTCCCAAAAATCTAGAGCCTAGGCTTCATTCCCCAGATGGTTACTCAAGGTCCCTGGAACCTGACACCTCCATCTGCCTGGCCTGCACATTCCCCACACCCTCCCAGATCTACCATGTGCCTCATGCCCAGTCAAAGATGGATGACAAGCTGGAGATTGTCCACTTCATGCTTTGGGCTCTAGCCTCAGGCTCCAGAAGGCCCTAGGTCCAACCTGGGCAGGGGCCAGATGACCATCCCAGCTCTACTCTCCAGCAGCAATTCAAAAAGGCCTTGCCCCTCACCCCCCCCACCCCAGTGGTAACCATGGTGAGTCACCAAGTGCACAGGTGGGAGATGATTGGTAGCCTTTTCTCTGCTTTGCGTCCTTGGGATTAAGCCAAAGCGCAAGGCTGCTTCATGAGCCAGATGCCCTTCCTGGCTTGTGTTGGCCCTCCATGCAGCTCAGTCTGGGCTAGCCCTGGGTCTGCTCTGAATCCACTCCCCCACCCCCACCCCAGGACAGCCAGGCACAATGGGGCCTCATGGACCACTGTGGCACATCACTGTGCCTCTGACCCTGACAGTACGGCTGCCCCAGGATGCCCAGGTCCCTGCTATGCCAACAGGCTTCTTGGAGACCACAGGGCTCTTCCCTGGCCACACAATGTTGTCAGCCAGCTCCGTTCCCTCTGCCTGGGGGTTCAGGTGCAAATCCGTGTCCAGAGTCTTCCTAGAGGCTGCGCTAGGGTCCTCTCTCTCTCCACCACATCCCCAGTTCCCTAGACCTGCCCAACTGTAGGAAGGAAAGAGGGCTTTCCGGTCCCAACCCTCGGTGCCCTCCGACCCCCATCCCGACCCCCAGGGGCGCGGGGAGGTTCCAGGCATCCAACGCGGGGAGCTCGCCCCCCTTGCGCCGGGTGAGTGTCCACCTCAGTACCCCAGCCCCACCCCTTCTCAGGCCGCCTGAGGCGGGTCGCCGCGCCTAGGGCGCACAGTTCCCGGGGGCGCGGGGCGCGAGGGGCAACTACCGAAAGTGCCGAGAGAAGCCCTGGTCCTTCCCCATCTGGAGCCGGCGACGGCGGCGTGGCAGGTGCCGGCAGGTATGGGTGGCCAAGCCCGCGAGCAGAGCGTGGGCGCGACTCCGCGAGCCTCTGCCGGGCGAGCGCACTCGGCCCCTCCCGAGCCGGCCGGGCCCGCGGCCCCGCGCCCGCCCCCTACGGGTGGCCCCGCCCCGCCCCGCCCCCACGGGGGACCCTCCGGCTAGCTCCCGGGGAGCTGGGGGGCGGTTCAGCGCTGCCAACGCCGCTTCCTCTCGGCCGCCTCCAGGTGTCTCGCCTCCAACCTCTCGGGCCGCCGCGCCCAGGTCCCCGGCACCGGCACCGTGGCGAGTCCCTGGCACCTGGCTGCGGCGAGACTGAACCCCACAGTTCGGAAGAAGCCCCGACTTTCTTTGTAGAGCCTGCGAAGGCTTCCCGGAGGGTGTGGCCTTTGCGCTGGGGAGCTGGTCCGCGAGGGGAAGCCCTCCTCACCTACCCAGGGCAAAGCGCCAATCAAGATGTGGCTAGAGAGGGAGGCCTTGAATACTATCGCTGAACTCTGAGAACACTGAGGAGCCCGGGGAGGGTCTCTGGATTTAAGGAGAGGAGGAGGGACCCCAGGGGTTTTGGTGCACTCGGGGAGTGGGTGAGGCTGAGAGGGGAACAGGGAAGGGTGTGGGGTGGGGCAAGTGGCTAGCTTCTAAGAAACACAGAGGAAAAGAAATGTATGAGATCTGGTGAGTGAGTGAAAATGAGGAAGGACAGTCAGGCTGGGGTGTAGGGGAGGACAGAGGGTCTCCTCCTGGGAGAGAGGATGGGAGGACCAGCTAAGGGTAAAAGAGGGTGATAACAAGAAAGGGAGTCTGGACCTTTGGCTCTGGGCCTGCTGCTGGTGGAAGTCAGAGCAGGCGCTCACCGCAGGGAAGCTACTGCATTGTCATTTCTCGGTGGTCCTGTCCCGCTTGCCGGTGTAAGGGCACATAGATACCTGGGAACCAGCCCAGGACATCCTGAGGAGGGGCTCCTTGGGGGACATTAATACAAGGCTCTCTCCTCACCAGGCACTGGCCACTACCCAGACAGACTGGAGCTGGAGAGGCAGAAAACCCTAGGACTCTCCCTGTGTCTCAGTCGCTGGAAGGAAGGAACATCTTACATGTTTCTGCCTACAGGTTCCTGCAGCGGGTCACAGAGAGGCCCCTACAGGCCTGATGGTCTGACTGGTACTGGGTTCGAACCACGCTGCCTGACACCTCAGCCCCCACGTTCCTGGCCCCAGCGAGGCCACCACCTTCCTGTGACCAATCAGGGCTGCTTTTCTCCCCAGCAGCATTAGGAAGTCAGAGCCAGCACTCATGCCGCATCCTTCCAGGCCTTGTCCTCAGCCCTGCCAAGGAGAGAGATCCCTGAAAACCTCTACAGTGAGTACAGCTCCCTGACATCTGCAGGGCCACAGCCAGTGCATCATGATAGAGACATTTCCGGAAGTTTGGTTCTGAGTGCAATGGCCCAGCATCCAGAACCAGGCCAGCCCAAAGGTTATGACAGCTGTCCACCTCACTGGGGGCAGAGGAGGCATGAGCATGGAGCGAATCCTCATGCTCAAATTCAGACAGAGGCAGAAGTGCACATCTCCATGGGGCCCAGCATTCTTGTATCCCTGTCCCTGTCAGTCCACACTGTATGCTGTCCTTCTGTCCCATTGCACAGTGAAGCCGTCAGAAAGGGACAGCAGCTGGTGCATCTGGCCAGATAGCCCAAGACAGCATGGGGGAGGTGGAGGTCAAGCAACAGCTAGCCTTGGCTGAAGTACCTGCCCCAGCGAGAGGGTGCTACTAAAGGCAGATGACTCTGGGGCAGTAGTTCTCAGTTCGTGATTTTGCCCTCCAGGGGACATCTGGCACTATCTGGAGATAGTTTTAGTTGTCACAAAATGGCAATTGGGTTGGGTAGTGTGCTACTGGCATCTAATGGGTGGAGGTCAGTGATGCTGCTAAACGTCCTACAACAGACAGGCCAGCCCCCAACATATCAGGCCCCAAATGTCACAAGTGCCATGGTTGAGAAACCTGCTTGACGGAGAAATACACCTTCCTTAGGGGAAGCCCACACTAGCTGAGCACATACTATGTATGTCCTTTGTACTTCTACACAGTTTCATAGAATTCTCCTAATCTCTTTGCATTATGGTGTGTCTGACATTTGTCATTAAAGCAGAAGAGGATGAAGGGGGTACACGTGTTCCCTCACACCCTACCCCCAGATTCTCAACTAATCTCTTTTCTGCTTGCAGTTGGCAGTGTTCGTTTATGTGATTTCCTACCAAGATCCCTGCTGGGAACATGTAAGGATTACCAACCCCGTTTTACAAGCAGACCATAGAGGTCAATTAACCTGCTCAAGGTTGCACAGCCAGTGAGCAGCCTTGGGGGGGGTCCAAGCTAGGTCTGTCAGGATTCCAGATTCTAACTTCTTCCAGCACTGCCTGCCCCTCCCTCTCCTTCCAGATTTCCTGAAATACAGCCGACCACAAAGCTGCTCCCTCTTAACCACGTCACACCTCCCAAGCTGCCTGGCCTGTCCTAATTAGAAAGTCATTTTATCACTTCATCAAACTGGGATCCCTTTGGGGATAGACCCAAATTAGACTCTGAGCTGCAGGATGAACTGCCGTCATGAAGGAAGATGAGACCCTCTGCTTACATTACCACCACTGACCCAAATTTTACCCTTATGGCAGCACCGTCCAAGAGAACTTCCTTCAATGATGGACATGTTCTAAATGTGCACTGTCCTGCACAGTGGCTGCTAGTCATATGGGGCTATTGAGCACTGGAAATGTGGCTAATGAGACTGATAAACTGACTTTTAAATTTTATTTAATATCCACTGAATTTAATTTTAAAAAGCCACATGTGGCTACTGTGCTTCCTGGTCTCACTGCTCCTTCTCCTTTCTCACTAAGTATTCTTTTTTTTTTTCTTAAAGGCAATTGATAATGCTCTTATTTATTCATTCTTAGAGACCAAGAGAGAGGCAGATGGAGAAGCAGGCTCCACTCAGGGAGCCTGATGTGGGACTCGATCCTGGGACCCCAGGATCATGCCCCGGGCCCAGGGGGGCGCTAAACCGCTGGGCCACTGGGGCTGCCCTCCCCAAGCCTTCTGATTTGGCCACGGAGACCACCTCTCAGAGGTCACACAGTGACTTGGGTGGGTTCCAGCCTCTGCCAAGCTCACAGACACACACATGCTCACACATGCACACACATGCACACACACACAGCTTCACCTATTTGCACTCAATCTCTCATTTAAACCTTCTCTCTCCTCAATGGGGCATCCTAAGACCACCACTGTAGCTCTTTGTGGCCACCCATCCTAGGCAAGGTGGTTCACACCGCGGTACTGTTGAGTATGCAGTGTTGGGTACTAAGTGGCACCAGCCTTGCCTTGGTAAGGTCCACTTCTGTAGCTAGATGCCTGGCCCTGATTAACTCTTCTTGGGGACTGTCTTTCTGCCCCCATAGGACATACTGCCAGACTCTGAGGGTCACTGAGTTGAGCACTGGCACCTGTTGCCTCTTCCAGGGAGCCTGCCCTGATTAACCCCCACCCCGCCCCCCACTGAGTTAGCCCTGGGCTGCTGGCACTCAGCCCTCAGAATCACAGATAACTGTGTCTGTGACTTCTCCATGCCCCCTCAGAACTTTCCCATAGAAAGTTCTGCATGAGGATCCCTACTGCAATCCTGGAACCCAGCATGTGGCCCACCACAGCCTGGGGGTGGGGTGGGGAGGTAGAGGGTAATGAGTTGGGGGTTGGGGTGGCTGAAACCACACTACCAAAGTACCCCGCTCCCTGCAGAGCCCAGCTGGGCGCCGCCCCTTCCTCCAGCATCCTCCCCAATTTTCATGTCGCGCTTGACACGCGCTGACAATAGAGGCTGCTGTTTCATCCTCCCCACCAGCGCCTCGGGGATGCTGGGGGGACCGGGCATCCCCAGGTGTCCAGGTTTCCGGCTTTCCAGGCTCTAAATAGAGTGCACCCAAGGGGTGCCTCCCCCACCTGGGCTCTTCTTGACCCACTGCCAGTCGCTTGGGGATGAACTGCAGACAGGAAAGCAGGCGTGGGGAGACAGGCTGTCCCGGGAGGCAGAGGCGACACAGATGGAAGCAGCTCTGAAGGGAGATGAGGGGGGAACCGCGGGGGCCTCCAGCGGAGTCCGGAGGCCAGCTGCTAGCAGCCTTGTGACACGCGTGCCAACTTCCCAGGGGACAGCCAGCCACCCGCGCCCCTGGCCCAGCCCTGGTGGAGTTGGGCGGGGTAGGGGGCTTCCCGTTCATCACCTCCCCAGGGAGCCCTCGGTGCCAGTGCATCATCTCCACTGCCAATTAGGCTGTAGAAATAACTTTTTTTTCCTCTTTGGATTCTCCTAGCAAGGGGCAAGCCCCTAACTCACCCCAGGCAGCTCATGGTGGCCTCTTTCGGTGGCCTTCTGTGCTCCGCTGCAGAGCTGAGCTGCTGCGCCCAGGCTTTGTTGGGGGGGGGTGTTGGCCAGCCCCATCCCTGACATTGGCCAGGCCCAGAGGGAGGGGCAGGCTGCAGGGTGAATGGCAGCAAGGGGAGGGGGCGGGCTGTGCCCAGGAAGTGGGGGGAGCAGTGGCAGGCCCTGGAGGCAGGGTGAGGAGAGAAAACACCCCCCTCTCCCCCACAGGATCCCGGCAGTGAAGGCATCACTAAGGCCCAGAGGGGGCCTGATCAAAGCTGTGCTGTACAGGTCAGTGATGCCCTGGCAGGAAAGTGGGCGAGTGTGGGGGGGTTCGGAAAATGTCAGGGCCACTCCAGGTATAAAACCACCATGAATTTTTTTTCCTAAAGGATAAACGTACAGGGCTCCAAAGCTAAGCAGAAGAACAGAAAGTGCATAGCTGATGGTTTCACGGTCCTGTGACAGCTGCTCATTTGCTGTGTGACTTTTGGGCCAGCCTCTTAATCTCTCTGAGCCTCAGTTTGCTTCCAAGAAATGGGGATAACAATCATGCTGGGATGATTCATCCAGAGAGTGTTCCTCTAGGCCCTGATGAGGTCCTGGGCACAGGGCTTGGCATCATCAAAGGGCAGAGGGTACCCATTGTTTGTAGCATGGGGATGTCCTTTCTGCAGGAGGTTGGTCCTCTCTGCAGCCTGTGCCAGCCCAACATCTAGCAGCCAATCCATTCTCACCCACAGCAATGCCCTCATACCCAGCAGAGCCAACAGCCACCCTGACCAGGGTCAGCGTTCAGGGTCACTGGCCCATCCTGGGAGTGGGACGGTTTTGGGCCCAGTTCAGTAGCAGGATGTGCAGCGGCAGTGCCTGGGGTGCTGGTGGGAGAGTGGGTACCTCTGAGCTAGGCACACCCTGCCTGCCTATTCCTCCCCCAAATGAGGTACCTGAGGTTGTCCAGGAGTGGTGCACGGGCCTCAAGGGGCAGGTCCAGGGTGAGCGCCCGCACCAGGTCATCTACCTGCTGCTCAGCTGCGAATTGCTTCAGTGCAGCAAATACCCGTTCCTTGGCAGTTGGCTGGTCCCCCAAGATTTCATCCACCTGTGAGGAAGGGTCTGGTGAATGACCACATGGACTAGAGCGGAACCCTGCTCACCTCCTTCCCTTCCTCTCTCAGTTTACCTCCACAGGACAGCTGCCAAGGGAGCCCTGCCTGAGCACTGTTGCAAGCTTTTTACCCAAATGACGTCATTTCTAGCCTCAGGGCAGCCATACAAGATAGCAGGGCTAGTATCTTTATTTACATCCAAGCAAACCAAGGCTGGTCTAGGTGGAGTGACTTGCCCAAGGCCATGGGGTCAGGACTCATACTAAGAGAAAGGCCTTCTACTGTGCATTATAAGGATCAAAGGAATCAATATAAGAGCTTTAAAATGCACCAGGCACTCAATAATTGCTAGTTACTATTATTATAACACTATACTCCTTTCCACCACACTGTTCACTGAGAGATCCCACATAGAATATTCTGGTGTTACAAAGAAGCCCTGGAGTGTGTGCCTCTCTCTGAATTTGGATTCCCTTAGCGCCCCCTCTGGACTTCTGTTTTTTTCTGCTTTGTGTACAAACCAGCTGATACAAATCAAGGTACATCTATTCAGAGGAGTCCATGCAGCTATTGGAAAGGGGCATGCAAATAGGCACCATGTTTCTGGAGGGCAGCTTTGGAAAGTGTATCCAGAGCCTAAAAATGCACCCATCATCTTACTCAATGATCTAGAAATGGATCCTAGGTATGTCCTGAGAAACAAGATGGTGCACGATGATATATGAGTGAAAAGGTTCACCTCTGCATTGTTCATAAAACAGATATATTGGAAGCAATATAGATATCTGATAATATGGAATGGATAATTTTAGCTCATCCATTTGAGGGATATTTGTAGTCCCGGCTATTTGGCTAAGAAAAGAGGAAACCCCACACTATGTGGGAGGCAGGACCCTGGCAGTTATGTGGTAGTCTGGGGGCAGTTGTAGGCTCTGGTCCAGGGTTTTGGCTCTTGAAAATATGAGGCAGAGAGATGGGGACAGCAGAGCTTGCTGAGGGTGGTGGTCAAGCCCCACAGCGCACCCTGAGCAGACTTCCCTAGTGGGGTAATTTAGGACAGCTGGGCTCCAGGTTGCCCATCCCATCCTGGTTCTAAGGCTGGATATCCAGCTGGGATTCTGCAAACTGTTCCTCCCACAAATCAAATCCCTTTCCTGCCTAAGTTAGCAGAGTAAACTTCTGTTGTTTGAGAGCCAAGTCCGTTTGATATTCTGTAGTACTGTAGGATATCGTTGATTCTGGGTTAACCTTTTTATTTTTTATTTTTTCATATTTTAACGTCCCTGAAATCAGGATGTATCTTATGACTAGTAGCCATTCCTGGGCATGTATATGGATGTAGTCATGGGTGTTCATATTGTTACTTACACTGATTTATTTGCATTGCTGGTACTAAATATGTTCAAATAAGTCTAAAGTCCTTTTGCATAACTACTAAATCAAGTGAAAAGTAAGGTGATAAGGAAGCATGTGTCATAGGTTTATTGCCAGAGGTATTTCTCTTTTTGTGGTAAAAAAAAATAACGGGGTGTCTTGCAATTAACATGCTTTCAATTTGATGCAATGTGTACTTTTTGGCCAGAAAGAATGATGCTGGGGATTTTTATTTAAAACCATAAGGTGCACCTAGGTGGCTCAGTGGATAGTGTCCGACTCTTGATTTCAGCTCAGGTCATGATCTCAGGGTCCTGGGATAAAGCCCCATGCTGGGCTCCACGCTCAGTGAGGAGTCTCCTTGAGGATTCTCTCCCTCTGAGCCTCCCCTGCTCTCTCTCTAATAAATAAATCTTTAAAAAAATAGAACTATGAAATGCAGAGTGATGGCTAAGGGTGTGGAGGTTCTTTTGGGAGTGACCAGAGTATTCTAAAGCTGGTCATGGTGATGGTTGCACAAATCTATGAATATACCCAAAACCACTGGATTGTACATTTTAAATGAGTAGATTGTATGATATGTGAATCTATCTCAATAAGGCCGTTATAAAATATGCAGAAAAATGTGATGAACAGGCAAGTGAGAAGAGCAGTTTACAAATGGAATACACAGGGTTGTCTGAGCCACTGGGTGGCTCAGTGGTTGAGCATCTGCCTTCAGCTCAGGTTGTGATCCCAGGGTCCTGGGACTGACCATGCTTCTCTCTCTGCCTATGTCTCTGCCTCTGTTTCTCTCATGAATAAATAAATAATATCTTTTAAAAAAACAAATGGGATACACAGTGTTATACTTTTAGATATATATGATTACACATATATCTATGAATTAGAAATATGCACTAAGTTTTATAGTGATTTGGATTTTCTAAAATAAGTCAATGGTTTCCATTTTTTCTATAGCAAACTTATATGATTTATACAGTCAAGAAAAGGGAAACATGTTATTATTGTTCCTTTTCCTTTCCTTTATTTTTACTGTGGTAAAAATGCACATAACACACAATTTACCATTATAACCATTTTAACATGTACAATTCAGTGGCATTAAGTACATCCACTGTGTGGTGTAACTATCACCATTATCCTGTTCCGGAACATATTCATACCCCCCAAATAGAAACTCTGTACTCATGAAATACTTGCTCCCCATTCCCCTCGTCCCCAGCCTCTGGCAACCACTAATTGGTTTTCTCTCTCCGTGGATTTGCTTATACTGGATACTCCTTGTGAATGGGATCATACGGTGTGTGACTTTTGTGTCTGAAATTGTTACTTTTTGTTTTCGCAACAATTAAACGTTGTCTATCCATACTCCATGAGAGCCCTCCCGTGATAGTCAGGAGGTCTGGGGGTCTGAATGCTGACGCCCTGAGCTGACCCTGAAGCAGAGATGGGAGGCTGGGCGTGGAGTGAATGTGTGGGTTTGCTGTGTCTCACTTTCAGGGGAGAGTAGATGCAACCTTAGCCAGAGCTAGGGCTGTTCGATACCACCTCTATCACCTTCCATTCACCCCCAACGTCCGTAGACAGCATCCTTCCCCACCACCCTCTGCTGTCAGAGGATGAAGAGCTCCCCATCTCCCTGGCCAAGGTCAACCCTCCAATCCAGACACCCACAGCCCCACCCGACCCCACCTTCTTTTCCTCCATCTACTTGTCACTCGGCTCTCAGCTCGAAAGTCACCTCCTCACAGAGCTTTCCTGACCACCCTGGCCAAGCAGCCCCCCTACCTTTCTCTCTCATCTCCCTGTTCATTTCTTCCTTCCACAATCATGATCTCCAGATAGCTTGTTTATAGATTTGTGCACTTCCTCGCTGGCTTTTTCCCACAGGGACAACAGGTTCCCTGCTTGTCCTCATCACAGCCATCTCCCCGGTCTCAGCGCATCACAGATCCACAACCAATGATGGTGAAACACGTGGATTTCAGTGTCTCTCCTGCCTTCTTCCCTTCAGCTTGTATAAATATTCAAGTCTCTCCTATAAATACATGAGTACATGAAGTCCCCTTACCCTGCAACCCAAGCAACCTCTTAATTCTTCTGGCCCAGAGCTGTCTACACTCCTTGCTTCGATACAACTACCCTGATCTACTGCAGTGCGCCCCCTACTTGCAGCACTCCGTGGCAATTCTCTGGGCAAGGACCCCAAAGGGTGACTTCTGGAGCTCAATCTTCAGCCCAATGCTTGCTCCAGAGCTTCAGAATGGCATGTCCAACTCCTTCCTAGATAGTCGCACCAGGAGATTAAGGCAGGCTTTCCAGAGGTGGTGATGCCATAAAATGGGACTTCAAGGGCATCATGCCAGAGTCCTAGCACGTGCACCCCACAAAGTCTGTGTTACTGTTTGTCTCCTCCACCTGATATGACCTCATATGATGGCCTGAGACCCAGACCTAACGTCTTTTTCCGGCTTAGCATCAAGCACAGGGCTTGGCACATAGTAGGCACTCAGTGAATGTTTATGGAACTGAACCGAAGAGCCACAAATGGGGATCCCTGGGTGGCGCAGCGGTTTGGCGCCTGCCTTTGGCCCAGGGCGCGATCCTGGAGACCCGGGATCGAATCCCATGTCGGGATCCCGGGGCATGGAGCCTGCTTCTCCCTCTGCCTATGTCTCTGCCTCTCTCTCTCTCTCTGTCTCTCTCTCTGTGACTATCATAAATAAATAAAAATTTAAAAAAATAAAAAAAAAGAGCCACAAATGGCCAGCTGTTCTCTCACTGCATTTCCTGTGATTCCCCTGGCGACCTCAGTTTCCCTGGCATTGAGTAGGGCAGGCTGCAGCACCAGCACCCCCCCACACACACATCCACTGTGCCAAGGAAGGTTAGGGTTTTGCAATCAAAGTCAGCTGCAGCCTCAATTCAAAGGAGAACATGGCTAGCTGGAAAGACGTTTTATGTAAGAAAGAGGAAAAAATAGATCCCCCCCCTGGGGCCTGTGCCACAGTGCGGCTTTGGTGTCAGCCATTACCCAGATGCTCTCAACCTACATCTAAGCATGAGGCACCATCACGGGACGCTAATGGATTTTCTATTAAATATCAGAATCTTCAAGGAGGAAAAACTGGGGCAGAGAGAGCACTGGCGACAACCCGGGAGCTAATTGTCAGAAAGTCCTTGATTGTCCCCAGGCAGTCTCTTCTGAGGATTTGCTCTCAGTTTTTGCAGGTGCATGGTGAGCTCAAACCAGAACCCACCACTCCCACTCCCCCTTGGTAGAACACACATCATGGCTGGCCTGGGCAGCCAGTCAGATTCCTCCCTCCCTCTGGCAGTTGCCACCCTGGCCCTGCTTTGTGGCCAGGTCTGCATGTCCACCCTGCCCTTCTGGGGGCTCTGAGCATGCCCTCTTACAACTTTGCAGGGGTTGGATGGAGTCTGGGACACGCCTTTGGTTCTGTAGCAGGTCATCTGGAATTATAGCAGACATTACTAGTGACTGCAGTCTGAATGGTGGTGTCCCCACCCCCCGCCCCAAACCTAATGTCCAATGTGATGGTATCAGGAGGTGGGACCTTTGGGAAGGGATGAGATCATGAGGGTGGTTCCTTGCGAATGGGGTCAGTGTCCTTATGAAAGACACTCCAGAGACCTCCCAGCTCCTTCCCTCCCGTGAAGACACGAGAGGTCTGCAACCCAGAAGAGAGCCCTCATTCTGCCATGTTGGCACTCTGATCATGGACTTCTGGCCTCCAGAGCTGTAGGAAATAAATTCCTGCAGTTTCTTTCTTTTTTTAAAAAATATTTTTTTCTTTATTTATTTATGATAGTCACACACAGAGAGAGAGAGAGGCAGAGGGAGAAGCAGGCTCCATGCACTGGGAGCCCGATGTGGGATTCAATCCCGGGTCTCCAGGATCACGCCCTGGGCCAAAGGCAGGCGCCAAACCACTGCGCCACCCAGGGATCCCCAATTCCTGCAGTTTCTAAGCGATCCAGGCTGATATTCTGTTACAGCAGCCAGAAAGGATTAAGCCACTAGTGCTCACCAATATTGCTAGCTCCCCTCCCCTCTCTGAGCGCACAGAAGACTGCATTTCCCGGCACCCTTTGGAAGCAGTGGCGTGACTAATTGTGGCCAATGAGCACGGGCTGCGGGTGCAGTGCTTTGCTCCCTCTCTGAAGTCCTTAAGAGCCAATGCACACATTTCCACCCTCTCTTCCTCTTCTACAGAAACTCCCGAAGCTGCAGGTTGAGATGAGGGCATCTGGCATGTTGAGGCCTTGTGTCAGCCATCCTGGAGAGTTGCCTGGACTTTTAGAGGACTTTGTGTGGATGGAGAATAAACCTGTGGGGTGTGCAAAGGCCCCAAGATGTTTGCTGTTTGCTATAACAGCAGAGCCTATTCTGGGGATAGAAAGAAACTGCATCTTCTGAGGAGTTGTACCCTGGTGACCTAGGGAGGTGAGAGCTGAATCTTGCATGTATGTGTGAGTGACTGCATACACTTGGCTACACAGGCTGGCCTGCTCAGGATCATGGGCTAAAAGGCTCAAGTTGGGGTCCTGCCCAGACACAGGGACATGCCAGGGTACATGGTGGGGATGAGGCTCCTGAGGGGATTCAGTTTAGAAGGAAGGAGGACTGGACCATGCTTGGGCACTGAAGAAGGCCAGGTGGATGGAGATCTGGTACCTGGGCAGTGGGCTGGGAGTCATTTCTCTAATAGCAGGGCTCCTAGTCCTCTGCCCACCAAAACCTCATGGCCAAGCTCTGCCAAAAGGAGGAATGAATAGTGCCCTTTCCATGGAGGAAAAGTGAGGGTGCTGTGAACTTAAGTGTCCTAATCACCAAACTGAGTTTCCAGGATGTTGGATTGGGCATCCACATCTGAAGGCTCTGAAGGACAAGTTAGGAGGGTGGAAGGTCTCAGGTAGTTGCTATACTGACACCTTCCAGTAGGTCCCAGTAGATATGATGACACTACTCAGCCTCTTTCTCCCTGACTGTGTCCCAACCAGGTTGCCTAGATTTGCCTGGATTTTTCCAGAAAAGATCCAGGTTTCTGCAAATCAGGGATTACTTGGGATTCAGGTCTAAAGGCCAGCTCCATCCTCAGAAGTCCTTTTCTAGCTCTGGGTCTCTACCTCTCTTGGTGGCTGCTCCTTGCTTCCTGTAGATGACTTAGACCTTGGGCTCCTCTTGTGGCTAAGGATGTTAGTCATTCTAGGATCTGACGCTCAGTCCTCAGGGAAGTCCTAACTTTCCACCAGCCACCCCTTAGGGCCTGCTCGTGCCAAAGTCTGATGCCTTTGGAAGATCAGGGGACTTGAATCAGGGCCTCTTGTTGCCAACTAGCCAGCCAGACTACTGTGTAAGGCAGAGCCAGATCCCAGTTTTGTGAGGGCTTAAAACAAGTGTGGCTCTTTAAAAAAACAAACAAACAAACAAACAAACAAACAAAAAAACTATGTGCTATTGTCTGAATGTTCGTGTTCCTTCCAAATTCATATCTTAAAACCCTAAGCCCCAAAGATGATGGCATTAGGAGGTGGGGCCTCTGGGAGGTGCTTACGTCACGAGGGTAGAGCCCTTATGAATGGGATTAGTGCCCTTACAAAAGAGACCCCAGAGAGCTTCCTTGCCCTTTCCACCATGTGAGGACACAGTGAGAAGGCACCAGCTAGGAACCAGAAAGTGGCTCTCACCAGACACCAAATCCGCTGGTGCTAAGATCCTGGACTTCTGGCCTCCAGAAATGTGAAAAATGAATTGAAATAAATTCCTGTTGTTTATAAGCCTCCTGGTCTCTGGGATTTTGTTACAGACTAAGACACTATGTTAGTCAGACAGACAATAGAAGGAATGATCCACTGCCACACGATGTGGATGAAAGTCACAGCAAAATGTTGAGCACAAGAGGCTCAGCACCAAAGAGTTATGTGCTGTACATCCATTTTTAAAAAAAGATTTTATTTATTTATTCATGAGAGACACAGAGAGAGAGAAGCAGAGACATAGGCAGAGGGAGAAGCAGGCTCCATGCAGGGAGCCTGATGTGGGACTCGATCCCCAGGACTCCAGCATCATGCCCTGAGCCGGAAGGCTGACACTTAACCACTGAGCCACCCAGGTGTCCCCTGTATATCCATTAATACGAAGTTCACAAAAGGGAGATACCTGAGTGGCTCAGGCAGTTAAGCATCTGCCTTCAGCTCAGGTCATGATCCTGAGGTTCTGGGATTGAGCCCTGAGTAGGGCTCCCTGCTCAGCTGGACACCTACTTCTTCTCCCTTTCCCTCTGCTGTTCCCCCTGCTTGCTTTCTCTCTCTTTCTCTCTCTCTCTTTCCATCAAATAAATAAATAGTCTTTTTAAAAAAGTTCACAAACAGGCAAAAGTCATCTCTAATGATGCAAGCCCAAATAGCAGCAACCTCTTGATGGAACCAATAGAGAAAGGGGAACATAGGAACTTTCTGGGGGTGAAGGAATCATTCCATTTTCTATCATTACCTATATTCTGTCGATCTGCATTTTGAGCAGGGTGGTGATTACAAGTGTGTGTGCACATGTAAAATCTAGTGAGCTGTACACTTAATGTACTTTACACCTGTGTATCTCAGTAAAAAAGAAAAGCAACCCCCATAAAACAACCAAACAGAATTACAAAATTAGGTAAAGAGCCTTGAAGCTCGCGTGTCTTTATATTTCTGGCAAATGTGTCCCTAGAAGACTCCTCGGCTCCAGGTTGTGGGAGCCATACCAGGCCCCAGAAGGGTACCCGGCCAACCACACCCCACCCCACGCGCTTCCTACCTTGCGGCTGAACTCCTGGGCCTTGCGTCTGCGCTCCCGGTGCACAGCATCCGGGCGCTTGCGGCGGGCCAGGCGCAGCAGCTCGCGGCCCAGGGAGAGGCCTGGGCCACAGCGCGCGGGCCGCGGGGCTGCGGTCGGGGATGCGCAGCGGGATCCAGCGCCTGGGTCGCCGTCGGGACTGGGGAGCACCCCGAGGCTGGGCGGCACGCGCGGGCAGCGCCGGGCCAGGCGCACGAGGCGCTCCCGGCTCAGGCCACCCACTGCCAGCCCCTCCACCTCCAGGATCTGGTCTCCGGGCCGCAGACCCCCAGCGTGTGCGCTGCTCCCTTCTGTCACCTCCAGGACAAAGCAGGGGCCCGAGCCACCCAGACGGAAGCCGAAGTCTTCGGGCCAGCCCTGGTTGGTGGCAGGCATGGCAGCGCTGGCGGGGCAGCTGAAGAGGGAGAGAGGGCACAAGGGATTCATCGAGGCCCTGGTCTGCTGGTCTGCAGGCTGCTTAAAGACCCAGGAGATGCGCCAGTCTGGGCCTCTACTTCTCTCTGCCTCCAGGTGGAGGATTAGTGCTTAAGTTAAGACACTATTGTGTCTCAACTCCTAGATTCAGCTGTGCCTTAAGTTCACCAGCTTCCATGTAAAATAAGGACTTCCCCGTGCCATGTGCTCACAAATGCCTACTGACTTTGGCAGGTATTTGCCCTTATTTATTTATTTATTTATTTATTTATTTATTTATTTATTTATTTATGATAGTCACACACAGAGAGAGAGAGAGAGAGAGAGAGAGAGGCAGGGACATAGGCAGAGGGAGAAGCAGGCTCCATGCACCGGGAGCCCAACGTGGGATTCAATCCTGGACCTCCAGGATCGCTCCCTGGGCCAAAGGCAGGCGCTAAACCACTGCGCCACCCAGGGATCCCGGTATTTGCCCTTTGAGTTGTAGGACTCTCCTTTTGGACTTCCTTGGGGAAGCATGGTATGACTGATTTGGAGGTCTCCCAGGTCCTGACTCTAGGACAGACTCAGGGGGAGGGGGAACCTCTGTCCTCCGAAAAAGGCCACGTTGTGTGGCCTGGTGAGGTGGGACGAGACACAAACCTGAAAATTAATAAAGGGAAATCTCACTAAACCCAAGTCAGGAGGCCAGAGGGGGGAGCCATACCATTCCACCTCAATTATAATAAGGATTATCTCTCCCAAAGCCCAACAGGAGAATCGTCAAACAGAAAAAAATCAATTACAAGCCCAACAGGAAAAGACGCACATTGCCTCTCCTACAAGAGGACCACCCTTGCAACTCAGCCAATGAGCAACCGTGATTATTATTATTTTATTCAAAATAATCCCTCCCAACTTCCTTATTCTTCTCTATAAAATTCCTCTCCTTTGTTTGTTGGACTTGCCTATGGTTTTTGCCATAGCTTGTTTGTCCTGAATTGCTATTCTCTACCATTCCTGGGTTAACCCATTTTTGCTAGAAAAAAAACTTTTATTTTTAAGGTTAACAAACACAGCCTGGGGAGGCAAAAGGGTGACTGTCCCAGACGGAACAATCTAGGTGTGTTTCTACATGTCTATTTAGAGCAGGGATTGCTTAGAGCTCATGGATGGCCTCTGAAACTGTAGGCAATATGTGGTGTGAAGGTTTGGTTTTCCGAGGAAGTCTTTAGTTCTGAGGACTTCCTGACTCTGGTTTCAAAGAACCTCTGAGGGCTGGATTTGAAGGCCCTCCACAGATGCCCAGAGCTCCCCAGCATGGAGTCAGTCATCCTCTTATGGCTCCCTTTCCCAAGATGCCTGAACACGTCTTAGCGGCTGGAGAGTTGGGGTGAGGAGGAGATCCAGGGTTCCAGCAGCGTCGTGGACTAGTAAAAAATGGTCTTAAGTGACCACCAGTGAGACTCTGTATCACCTGGCCACCAGAGGACAGTGTGAACACTTTTCACCTTGCATGTGGTGGAGGCTGTCACACCCCAAGGCTGGCCAGCTTCTTTCCAAGCCCATTCCAGGGAACCTGGTCCTCCTCTGCCAGGTGGCCATGCTGCCATGGGGCCTCAGGGACACTTACTCTATTGCTTGATGGCAGCACTGGACTCCTGGGTGCACTGGGCCCAGATGGGGTTGGGGGCATCACCATGTCTTAGAGGAGCCCGAGGTCAGTTCTTATACCATGAGAGAAGTAGTAACTCCTCCACAATCAAAGAGGGGCTGGCTGTAAACTCTGAATTTGGGGCAGAGGCACATGTTTCCCATGCATGTACACACCTGTTCTGGCCCACATACCTGTGGCAAGGCTGCCTGTCAGAGACCAGAGCAGGCAATGCCTAGCACCTCTACACCCAACCTGTGGAGCCCACAGCGCAAAAGTGGCTGCCAGCACTCAGACCCCACTGGGCTTTTGCACCATGTCAAGCCCTCCTATGTGTCGCCAACCCTGCAGAGTCACCCAAGCTCTCTCCCACCCACCCAGAACTCCTTGTGTGAGCCAGTCTTCCCTCTCACCTTCACCTAGAAACAGAAATCCAGGCTCCTGACAGGGCTGATGGGCTATCTCAGGGCATGAGAGGAAGGCATCTCAGGGCTACCCATCCCAGATTATTGGGTGCCTCTCCCACCCTGTGCTCCCAGGTTTGCTCACCTTCCTCACTGGTGATTTCAGTGGTTGCAGGGACAGAGCACAGGGCTTGTGGAATGCCTGGGGACACTTGCTTGTTGCCAGCCCTCTGCTACTGTACGAACAGTATGACCTTGGCGTCAGTTACTGATGAGCCCGAGGTGACAGCTGGAGTTTCTAAGGCAAAGTGATCCTCTGAGTAACCTGAGAAGGCCCCAGTTACCAGGCAGACCAGCAGGATGGCTGGACAGCTTGGCCAGGGCCCAGAGTGGCTGGTCCCTGCTGTGTGGTCTGGGGGGCAAGCAATTATACTCAGGCAGGAGTGGAGGCTGGCTAGAGCTGGGCCATGGGCTGGGTACACCCATGAGGTCATAGAACTAGGTGGGTGGTTTGATAGGGTTCATCTAAGCTGTTTTGAGATGAGGGGATGGAAGATGGAAGAGGGGGTTGGTGAGACTCAGTAGGGCGTGGGGATCCAGTCTCCATAGAGAATATCACTGCCAGAGCCCCAGTGGTCAGATTTATCCTCAGAAAAAGGTGAGATCCAGCCCAGAAAAAACGGTTTGGATGGGCAAAAAGATGCTCACCTAAGTAACTTTGGAAATGAGTGGAGTCTGTAAAACTGAAGGCAGATGGAACTGCACACAGTCCTGTACTCTAGGAGGTGAAGCTGTTTCCCACTGGGGTGCAGGTTAACAATTCTGAAATCACACACATGCACACTGGAATCGAACGATTATGTGAATGGATGGCAGGAGCCAGGTTTCTCCCTAGTGGAGTGGGAGGCTATAGACAAGCTAAGGGGGAAGCTAGAATAATCCATGTGGTACTAGATCAAAGCTGGGGATGTCAGTATGAACTCGTGTTTTGTTTACTACAGCTGTGGATAGACACATGTAGAAATATTTATGACTGTGTGTATTATACATAGGTTAGTATATGGACTTATGTCTGCTTATTCTGTCAGCAAGAGGGCCTAGAAGCAAGACACCCCAGCAGCAATGAGCATATCTAGTGCCAGATCTTGGCTTCTAATATTCTCCAATAAAAGGAGTCCAGGATCCTTAGACAAATGACTGATTCTAGGCCTGGAGCAGGAAGCATGCAAGAGGATCCTAGAGCATCTTCTGGTACCAGAGAGTACACAAATGCTAAATGCGCGCACAGACACACACACACTCGCGTGCATGTACCTACATATGGTGGGGTTTGTCAAAGGGACACAGGAGCAAATTGAGAGACATCTCATTGGCTGAAGATGGAACAATATGAGCAACAAAATAAGTAATGTAGTACTAGGTTATGACCCCAAACATAAATATCCATGAGTCTATGCTGATGTAAACATCTGGTTGAATAAGTAGGGGAGAAAAGACATCTCTCCCATGCAGAAGAATCTCAAATGATTTATAACTTTCCCCCATTTAAGTGTGGGCTGCATGTAGCAACTTCCTTCCAACAGGGACAGTACTAAGGGGTGGGGATCACAGTACTTCACAGTGAAGAAAATGATCAACCCTCCCTCAGGCAGGTGATCGAAGTTAATAGCAACAGGGATAAGTCAGGTTGATGGCATGTGCCCTTTATCTGATGTGATGAGAGCACTTTGCCTCCGTGAACTTCCTCCCCTAAACCCATAACCAGTTCAATTAGGAGAAAGAGAAACATCAGCATACTTAAATTGAGGAACATTCTTAAAACACGAGGTTTGTCAAAGGGACACAGGAACCTGCCTAAAGAGCTCCCAGAGGCCAATGATGAAGCATTTGAGCAACAAAGTCAATAAGAGAGTGTTGAATCTTAACCCAAATAAAATAAATATCCACGGGTCCATACTGATACAGACAAAACATACTTGGCTCTTCAAAGCCAAGGTCATCGAAAACAGGATAGTCTAGATATTGTCACAGACTGGAAGGGCTTAAGGAGACCTGATGGCTAGATGCAGTGTGGGATCTTGGGACAGAGAAAGGACGTTAGGTGAAAGCTAAGGAATCAGAACTAATGATAAAGATCAACATTTATCGGTTGTGACAAATGTACCATAGTAATGTAAGACACCACCAATAGGAGATGTTGGGTGTGGGGCAACAGGGAACTACCATAACAGCTTTTTTGCACACCCAACAGTATTCTAAAATTAAAATTTTATTATTAAATTTTTTTCTGAGGATGTGGGGGATGGGGATCAGATGGATCAGGTGAGGGATGCCTGGGTGGCTCAGCAGTTGAGTGTCTGCCTTCAGCTCAGGGCCTGATCCCAGGATCTGGGATTGAGTCTCGCATCCGGCTCCCTGCATGGAGCCTACTTGTCCCTCTGCCTGTGTCTCTGCCTCTTTCTCTCTCTGTGTCTCCCATTAATAAATAAATAAAATCTTAAAAAAAAAAAGATGGATCGGATGGTATTTTTAATAGGTCATCACTATGGAGCTGGATGTTTTGCAGTTTGCTTAGGCAAAGATGCTCTAAATTATTGTGTGTGCATGCAGTGCATGCACTGCATGTGTGTAGAGAGGTAGATGTGTCTATGTGTGTTCTCTAGTCTCATTTACATTACAAACTCTGCTGGGTAGGTTACAGTATATCTTCTTTGGGGGGAAAAAACCCTAACACTGTGCGTGAACCAGTGTCCTCAGAACATGGTTGAAGAACAACTGATACTGGAATAAAATACATCTTTGAGCAATACCTCCAAATGCTTAACAGGCTGCGTAATTGTTGTGCTGCATGGTAATTACGCATAAGCCGTGACAGTCACATGGGTGGCTTTACTTGGTGTGCTTTTTTGACTTCTTGATTAATA